GGTTCGTCTGCCACTGTCTGGGCGAGTCATCTATCTCTTTTTTCTGTAATCGTCTGAATGCTGTGTATTTCCCTTGTCGTTAATGGAAATGGGGTTCCCGCGTGGAAAAAAAGCTGCGGCCTGCGTACGTGCATGATGCAGTCTCTGCTTGCTCGCTATTGTTGCTGCTATGTGCCACCGCAGTGCACACAGATATACTACAATACACACCCTGTGTCTGCGTGCAGTGCAGGCTTAGGATCCAGCGGGCTGTCCGGGTATGGCAAGGGATACCCTAAGCCCAGCCCAAGAATACACCTACCTCTCTGTAAAAAAATCCGAACCGAGCAGCGAGCGTCCGAGACGCCTCGAGCCTCCGCGATTCCTCTTCGCGTCGGCGCCTCGGCGGTCCCCGCGAATCGCGAGCTCGCGACCGCAGCAGCCAGGAGTGACCGAGCGCAGCCCCTGGCGGCCCGGCCTGCCAGTCACCCTGTCACTGCGGCGCCGCCCCGCAGCTGGCCGGAGGCGCCAGGCGCCCTAGATCCCCTGTGTCGCTGTGCTGGAGTTTCCTCCGTCACTAGTGCAGGCGCCCGGGGACCCTCTGAGGGCCACGTACAGCAAAGGCACCGCCATTGAGCAGCTTGTTACCTTTCATTCTCTTCCTCGCAATTTTCCCCAAATCGATAATCCTAATTCCTCTCCGATCTAATTTATATAGCTGGCTGTTGTTTAATTTCCCCTCAAATTAGTTCAATTGATGTAGTTACATAGTTGTACTGTAGTGCGCAGTGGGAATTAGGGATGAATTAGTTGAACTATTAGTGTAGGCCCAAAAAGTAATGTTGTAATCTTATTTGGTCTTTAAGTTTCTATCATGCATATTCCAAACTATTTGTGTATTATTTGAACTATTTGTATGGTAATTCAAGACTTATTATGCTATTTAGTAGTTGTGTACCCAATTGTGAGACAATTTTAATGATACTTTATCGAATTGCTAAATAGGTACAGCCGGTATTATAACTTCAGTAGTTACTAGTACCTTTAAGTAATTGTTAGTATCTTCTAGTATTTTGTTAGTATCTTCGAGTATTTTGTCAGTAGCTTAGTACAGCCTATACTAGTATTTCAATAGTATCTATTAGTATTTTGTCAGTATTTTCAGTAGCTTAGTACAATCGGTAGTTATCGGTATCTTCAAGTATTTTGTCAGTATCCTCAAGTATTTTTTTTTCAGTGGCTTGATATAGCCGGTTCGATAACTTCAGCGGTTGCTAGTACCTTTAAGTAGTTATCAGTATCTTCGAGTATTTTATCAGTATCTTTAAGAATTTTATCAGTATCGTCAAGTATTTTGTCAGTATCTTCAAGTATTTTGTCAGTAGCTTGGTACAGCGGGTACTACTTAGTTGCTAGTACCTTTAAGTAGTTATCAGTATCTTCAAGTATTTTATGGGTATCTTCAAGTTTTTTTTTTTTGTCAGTAACTTGGTACGGTACTATAACTTCAGCAGTTGCTACTGCCTTTAAGCAGTTGTCAGTATCTTTAAGTTTTTTGTGAGTATCTTCAAGTTTTTTGTCAGCATCTTGTTAGTAGCTTGGTACAGCCCGTACTATAACTTGAGTAGTTGCTAGTACCTTTAAGCAGTTGTCAATATCTTCAAGTATTTGGTCAGTATCTTCAAGTATTTTTTATCAGTACCTTGGTACAGCCGATACTATAACTTCAGTAGTTGCTAGTACCATTAAGTAGTTGTCAGTATCTGCAAGTATTTTGTTAGCATTTGACAATATTTTTTCTCTATTAAGTAGCACCAGTATGTGAAAGTATATTCTTTTCTCCAATATTTTTTCCTCGATATCAACTATTAAGTAGCATCATTTCTAATGCTATACGTAATACTCCTTTAAGTTGTTGTGAGTACTACCTAGGACCGATGGAAAGAAACAAAATATTATGATTCTCCCCTTCAGTTTGCTCCATGCAGTATCTTCATTTTTTTTTTATGTCTGTGTTTCAGACTTTAGTAGCACTCAGTGGGCCTGTTCGTTGGTTAGGGCTGATGCTGATTTGGACTGGCTGGTACTGATATTTTATGAGAAAAAAACACTGTTGGCTAGATCTGAGCATCTTAACTTGCGCTGCTTTTGATGGTGCACTCAGGCCAAAATGACCACTGCACGCATCCTTCACTTGCGCTGCTTTTGATGGTTTACTCAGGCGTAGTAGTAGTCACCCATTGCCTCAGCTGACTTCTCAAAACAAATCTTTTTTTTTTTGAAAACACACAGCAGATTTCTTGTCAGTAGTATTTCGCAAAAGCTTCATCTCATCCCTTGCCGCTGGTGTTCTGGCCGGTCATGCCTAGCGGTCGGCTTTGCAGAAAGGGGTCCCAGCGCACAGGGCATGTTGGCAGGGGCGAGGTGCTTGTGCGTGGTGGACCTGCAGGACGTTGCCGTCGCCCGACATGCAATTGACTTGCCAATCCACTCTCGGAGGACAGAGCGCGCGGGCAGATCGGTGGCGCTCACCTGCGAGCCTGGGGTGCCAGATTTGGGGGCTGCGCAGGGAGCCTGGGGTCCGAGACGTCGTCGCCGTAGGGTGCGGAGCTTCGCGGGGGCGTGCCACGGCCGGCCGGTCGGTCCAAGCGAGGCTGGTTCGTGTGCGAGAAAAATACCGTTTTGACTGAAAATTTATGATCGTTTACGACAAGCCATAGCCAAACGAACATGCCGGTTGGGCTGGTTGGGTTGAGTCTGACGGGGTGGGCTGGTTGTGTCATGGTATTCTACACAGCGCTGCCGTGTGCGTGCGTGTGTGTGTATATATATATATATATATATTGTTCTGCAGCTGGTCATAGAATAATTTATTTTGTGGTCATTTTGAGTTACGATAATTACCATGCTAATTTATGATATTACAGTAACTCCTTAAGTGATTTACTATAACATTATCGTAAATATCACCATGAATTATAGTAACATGAGTATCGTAAATACATATTCATATTATCGTAAATTGATACAAATATTATCGTAAATCAAGGTGGCTATAGAATAAGTTATTTTATGGCCAGCTGCAGAATAACCTGTATATATTCAGTAACCAGCTACAAAATAAGTTATTCTGTAGCCACCTCCATTTACGATAATTTTATATACTAATTTACGATAATGTCAATACATATTTACGATAGTTTGGGTTACTATAACACATGGGGATATTTATAATAACATTATAATAAATCACTTAGTAAGGAATTACTATAATCTCATAAATTAACATAGTAATTATCGTAACTTAAAGTGACTACAAAATAAGTTATTTTGTAGCCAGCTACTCTAGATCTTTACTATGTGAATTTTTTTTTCAAAAGAGCACATATTTTTTAATATATTATATAATACTATGATAATAGCATATAAAATAAGTATAACAATATACTCTAAGTATACATATATACTTGTCATATATATTACCTTAGATAGTCTAGTATAATGATATACTCCATCTACATACACTTCGTCGGGCCATATAAGCTCTAAATCTAGAGATATACCTATAGGAGTAACTACCCTGGAGTAGAAAATAATTTTCCTATATATGTTAATAAATTCCATTGGGTATTTGGGTGTGCGACGACAACAATTAGCTTAGGTTATACTCCTACATGTAAGAACAACCGAACGAGCATGCATGATGCAAAACAACAAATTTCGCCTAATCGATTTCGGATGAATAGAAATCTTAATCCAAATAGAAAATATAATAATATGAACAACTAGGAATCTTAATCCAATTAAATATCTCCAACTCTGAATAACCGAAATAGAAACCTCAATAAGAGTAAAAACAAACAATAAATAAGAGATCACAACCATTTTAATCTTCGACTTCTTAAGAAACAAAGATTTTTACCACTAAGTTAATTTAATTTTTGACTCGAACACATGACCGTGCAACAACTTACTATGTATTAGATCCCATTGCAACGCACAGGCATATTTACTAGTATAAATAAAATTACAGTAATAAATAAAAAAAAGATGGAGGATATATATATATATATATATGTATACATACCCACCGGAAAAAGTGGACCCCACCTACGTAGCAACTCACTTACGCTTTCGTCCTCGCTTCACGCAAAACGGTTAACCGAAGGTTACGCGTCGTTGGCCTGGGTATTTATGCCTGTTGGCAAAGCACGCAGATATATGAGCACACACAATTTAATAAATAAATATAAATATGAGATTAACGATGAGAAGGCATGCGGATGTAGCAGGTTGTTGATTTGCATGTATATGCATCGGCACTTAAAATACAGATTGGACCTATACGCATCGGCACTTGCAATACATATTTATATATTGGACCTCCTAAAGCTAGCTGTCAGTGTCCATAACTCTACCAAATACTACCATTCTGGCACGCACGCACACATAAATTAAGACAAGACTGCTCTTCTTAAATGGAGTAGTAAAATTGAAGGGCAAACTTGCTACCACACTAGATTACACCACGGAGTGTAAGATTCTGAGTACAGAAGGAAAAAAAAACGCATCACTAATGTCTTCCCTTCTATAAATTCACGTCACTTCGCTACATTGTTCCTTCATGCACGCAAACCAATACTGCTCCCACAGAACTGAAACGCATGAACATTTCACTAAAGGCCTGTTTAGTTCACCCGCTGAATCGGCGCCGCCAAAATTCGACATATACTGTAGCTACTGTAGCGTTTTGTTTTTATTCGGTAATAATTGTCCAATCGTTGACTAATTAGACTTAAAATTCTAAGTACAGAAAAGACAACTAAAAAACATAATTAGTTTTTCCCTTCTATCAACATTTAATACTTTTCGCTATACCGCCTTCATTGATGTGACAAAATCTTCTTTTTTTTGTATAGTGCCAGAACTGAAATCATGGGAACTAAACAAGGGCTAAATAAAGTCCCAATCACGCTCTTCTTCGTCACTTTCCTCTGGATAAACAATAGTGTTGTGCCCAGCTAAGAAGCTACCACAATTGGGATGTATAAGATCTTTTGCCCGAAATTGACACCCTTTACAACGACCTTAAAAAGAAAGACAAATGCGTCAGTGAATGGTCAAAGGAAATGAAAAAAAAACATATGAAAAATAAACCTATAAAGTTAGAGCATAGTGTACTAACATAAAAAAATTGAAGGAGACGTGAAGATGCGCAAATGTGAAGCTACGTACCTTGGTCATTCTTTTTTGATGGATTGAAGTCATCCTCTCCCAAAGGCTTGCAGAGATAAACATCTTTCTCATCTCTGAGATTATGATGCACTTCAGCAAAAAACATTGTATGTTTACCATCGAGCCCTTTCACTAAAAAGTTGAGATGCAAATATCCTTTACCAAAATCACCAATAATGTTTCTTTGTTTCACTTCCACGAATTCAAGATCAGTAGGCTAAAATATAATAATATAAAACAGATGTCAATATAACAGGGCCACTTCAAATAAATAGTAAAATGCATTTCAGCCAGTAGTACAATAAACTAACTAATATGAAAATAAACTGCATGTCCATTTTCTGAAAACTGAATAAGAATAGTAGTACAATAACTAACTAATATGAGTTAGTTTCAATAAGTACAAAACTACATGTCCATTCTGAAAAACATAATATAAGTGTAGCAATTATATATTAAATAACACAGTAGTATAGTCGATGAAGAATAACCAGAACACTAAAAACTAGTAAAAAACTAGTAAAGTTGGTTTAGATATTAGTAACTAGTATAAACTACTACATGCCCATTCTTGAAATCAAAATGGAAGTAGCAATATGCCAATAGTAAATAACACAGTAGTATATATAGCAATAGAAGAATAACCAGAACACTAATTATTGATTGATATGGGTTTGACCTGCATGTTATTTTGCTTGGTATAGACTTCCAATGCTATCACCGAGCTCTTTCTATCATGCTCCTGTCTTTGCTCCTCACTAAGCTTAATAGAAGAAAAAGGGAAGTAGCTGTAATCATGACTGAGAGCCTCAACACAAGCGTCATGAAGATCATGGACAGTCCATTCTGATTCCCTAGGAGTGGGGTCATTCCAAGTCTCCAACCTTATGTCAAGACTGCATGAGAAAAAAATATAAAAAATGAAATAACTATCAGTTTAAGTGCAGTATAGCAGCAAAGAATGTAAAATGGCAGGATTGCAAGGGTCCATATATATTTAATATAACATATAGGTGCGTGGCCCAACTACAGAGTCAAGCAACGGAATTTTAGTGATTAGGAGAGGAGATGCTGTCATGTTCAATGCTATTGTTGCAGGCCAAGGAGTAAGCTTTGGGGCCCTGCCATTCCACGTAGAACCTTGAATTAAAACCTCGAGACTCAGTCTGACATAGATGGTATGGTTTAATTTGCCAGCTCCCTCGATAGGAGAGTTGAACCTCTTTCAGACAGGGCAGTTCGAGTACAAACTAACTCATATTAGAGCAAAATCGAGAGATCGCTGTAGTGATTGCAACCTAGCTAATAAAGAATTTAAGCCCTGCAAATCAGATGTATCCTTCGTTTTTCCTAGAAATTAAGGAATTACTTGACTTCAAGGATATATAGAGAGAGAGCAATTAGCAAAAGTCTATTATTCTATTAATAAATTCGACTGGGTGTGCGACGACAACAATTAGGTTAGGTCATACATCCAAGAACAACTGAACAAGCATGATGCAAAACAACAATTTCGTCTAAGATAATATTCCATTCAAATTATAAATCGTTCAGCTTTTCTCCTCCCTCCGTTAACGTTTTCACTATTTTAGATACATAGTTTGTATTATGTACGTGCTATTAATTTGGCCCGTATCTTAGGTATATCCGTCCAACATATCTAGAAAAGCCAAAACGAAATATAATTTGGAATGGAGGGAGTAACAAATATAAGATAAGATGGTGGGTAAGAATACTATAATATACGTACCCGCCGGAAAAGTCAGTAGGCCAAAGTTTTTTTCTTTGCGGTCGCGGAACACCATCCCAACGGTTTTTGACGAAATAAGGAGGTACGCCGTCTAGCGAGCGAGACGACGACATGGCGGCCGGCTGCAATGCGATGCGGCAACCCTCCGCCGCTCCTTATCCTTCTTCTTGGATCACAAATGAACCGTAATAAGTATAAAGTATAAATTAGCAGGCAGATGAGGACTGGTATATACAACCCCGATCCGGTCGATTGAATCTAAACTATTACGATGGGGCAAAAGGCGAATTACCTGCGACGAGGGCTGCGGTCGAATCCGCCGGATCCGCCGCCGAGAGCGGTCTGGTTTCCGCGAGGAAGAGGAACTGCAGGGTTTCGTCTCAGCATAGAGTATCGATATAAGACAGCCAGAGCGCGGCCCGTTTTGTCTCCGGTCTCCACGACCCGCGTCCAGCTAGATTTGGTTTGGGCCGGTCCTGTTTCATTGGACTATATAATATGAGGGTGAAAAAGGAAGCCCAGACGATTGTTGGAAAGTCTAGATGAAACAACACCAATTTTGGGGGGAAATCTGTTCTACCTTCTTGAATGGATTATGTTGTAGTCTAATTTAAATCATCAAACTTTAAAACCGCACATCTTATACGTTCAAAGTACCATCCTGCCAGGGTTTTCAAGGCTTTTTTGTCTTTTTTAATTAAAAAATCAATAAATATTTAAAATAAAGTTTCTAAACCATAAAAATATCTCTGGGCTTTAAAAATCAAAAAGTCCTAGAGACATATTGGGATACGAAGAATATATAGAACTAAATTATCTAGTCCTCATAAAATATCTCTGAAAAATATATTTAATTATAGAAACATATAATAAATATTAAAAAATCTAGAAATTTTTCAAAACATTCTAATTAATGTCTAAACATGTTTTCAAAACTTTTTGCAACAAAAATCTTAATGACGGAACTAGCACAAATGCATTTAACATTAATGTATGTTTCATTTGTGCTGGTAACATCTCATATTTTTTCCATAAAAAGTTTTTAAAATATGTTTATCCATCGATTAGAATGTTTTGTGAACTTTCTAAATTTTTTAGATTTTTTTTTTCATTTTTAGAGCTAAATCAAATTTTTGTGTGCTTCTAAAGATACTATCATTAGCTCTAAGTATTTTATTTGGATATGTCATATCATAATGTCTCTAGGGTTTTTAAAAGCTTAGAGACAATTTATATGATTTCAAAATCTTATCAAGTATTTACCGGATTTTTTTCAGTGGTGTTATCGCGCCTTCTCTGCAACTCTAGGATCTACATAAATCCAAGGACCAATAAATACCAATGCTCAAAGGAGGGATGTCCGTGCTCACAGTTCGAGTGGAAGTAAGCTCCATATGATCTATTATAAATGCTATTGAAACTAATGATCAAAAATAATTGTTAATTACTATTATTCCTTCCTTTTGACATATTCTACAGAAATAACAACATAAAATATTGTTTTCTATTGGGTTCCAACAAGTAATAATATCACATTAACATAGAGATTTCTGTACTCAATTTTTACACTGCTTCCACCAATATTGTTATAGGTATAAAATAGCATTCATTGGAACAGATGAGACATATAGCCTTGAATTTGTGCTTTTTGAAAAGAAAGGATAAGAGCTGATTGGAAAATCTGCAGAAGTACTTAGAAAGCAGTATGAACAACGCTAGATTCCATCTGATATATCAGCTTGGATTGGCTTCAAGCTCACATTCGTGGTCACAATTTTAGCGAACAAAAGTGCTGACAATGTTGATCCTTCTTTTGAAGTTATCATGATCAAGAAAAACCATGGCAAACAATCGATCGTAACACCTATAAGAGGTCTTGCAATGGCATTGGCACAATCAAGTTCATCCTCTATTGCAGCAGATACAGATCTACCGCCTTTAATAACCATAGCATCCAAGAAATTGAAAACCGAGGTATACATACCACATAATCTGATTCCCTTATATAATATTTCTTTTACCTTAACCAAACATTTAGCTCACTTATTTACATTTTTAGGCAACTTCATCTCAAACACAGGTTTCCAGTGGGATACTGAAAGGATCTAACAATGCCTAGAGTGGAAGTGAATAGGCGTATCTAAAAAATAACTGCAAATGCTAAGTTCAAATTTGTCAGTCAATGTCGGAAGTTCCGGAGTTTGGGTCGAAGCTCCCGACGTCGTCAGAAGTTCCGGCGCAAACGTCAGCAGTCCCGACGCCTACGTGAACTACAAAAGCAGTGCCAAATTTAATTTTACGGATAAATAATCTTACAACCCCACTTCCTAGTGGTTTGGTGAAGATGTAGGGTCACTCCCTTTGACACCGTAATGCCTTCAAACCGTAGATCGAGTCCAAACCCTAAAATGAAAGTTTAGGAGAGAAAGAGACAAACAAATACAAGTAATCTCTAGCAATCACAACAACAAGCACACGAGACATAAGGATTTATCTCGAGGTTCGGCAACCCCACAAAGGAGCTCCTACGTCCTCGTTGTTGAGGTGACCACTAAGGTCGGAGTCTCTTCCACCTCCTTGCCTCTCTCAAAGCGACCACAAAGGTCACTTGAGCTTTCCACTAAAAAATCAAGGGTAATACAAACTTTTCAAGGTTCTTCCATAAGATGGAAGCTCTTGGGCAACGCCTAGCCGGCTAGGGGCAAGGCCCCAAGAGTAATAGACGCAAAATCAACCGGCTTGACGAAGAAATCAAGTGCTCAAGCTTTCCAAATGGATGCTCTCACTTAATTCACTTTCCTTTCACTCAAAACCCTAAGGGAATCGAAGATTGGAGCAAAGGGGAAGGAGAGGGGTGCTTTAGTTGCTCGGGAGTTGTTGAGCACGAAATGGGTCAGCTCTGAATGAGTCCGTAACGGTTAGAAATGAAGAGAGGGGTATTTATACTCCATGTAGAAATCTAACCATTCAGATCTACGTCGAAAGTTTCGACGCAGATCTCGGGACTTTCGACGTTAACAGAAAATACTGTTCACATAGGGTCAGAAGTCCGCGCGTGCAAGTCAATGTCGGAACTCCCGGCAAACGTCGGGACTTCCGACGCTCGGAACTTCCGACGTACATCGGGACTTCCGACGTGCGCAGTTAAACAACTAGTAAAGCTCTAGGTGTCGGGACTTCCGACGAGCGCAGACAGCCAGCCAGTCAGAACCATAGGTGCCGGGACTCCCGGCTTGGGTCGGGACTTCCGACACCGATAGTCACAGAAAAATAATCTACGTGCTCGTGGAGTGCTAGAGTGACTCTCTTTTGATTTTATTATTATGCTTGAGCACTCTATCTTTCTCAGACCAACTAAATTTGCATCCCTCTTTATAGTGCGGCGAATCCTAAACTCAAAAATAAAAATAATACCTTTGGAGAGCGTTTTAAGTTCGTCCGCCTTTACAACTTCAACAATTGAGGGTTACCATTTTATCTTTATCAACTCTTTGAATCTTTCATGGGACTAATATCTACGACATATCTCATTAAGATCACATTAGTCCCTAATTTGGATGTCATCAATATACCAAAACCCACATAGGGGGCAAATGCACTTTCAGATACAAGACATGGATATCTGTCGGTGCAAAACTGTGTCAATGCGCCTGACACATAGCAAGTTGAAAGGATTTGCTTGATGGAGCAAGGCTGGGTGATCCGCTTGACTTCAACGCAGGACTAGTCGACCCTGTAAATTCCCCTCGAGGGCGTGCCAGTCAATTTGACCTGCAATTGACAAGGAGAGAAAGTTTATCAGTAATTTAAGGTGGAACATACCGGTCTTACCCAGATAGTTCCAAGTGTGACACTTCAGGAGCAGCCAGTGTTAGCTCACTGGATCTTCGACATGGAGGTATCCGACCACTCGCTAGTGTTGCCGAGCACACACTAGTGATGCCGACCATGAACTATCGTTGTCCTACCTCTAGTCATAGTGTGTGGTCGGACAACATTAGTCGTGGTCGGCAGCGCTGGTGAGTGGTCGACTCACCAGTGCCGGTGATCCAGTGTGCTAACAGCCAGATAGGAAAATCGATCGAATAGCCGATACGAAAAGAAAATCGGTTGTAACACTCGCGGGTTGTGATTTTTTTATGATGACGAGTTTAATGCACACAGATATAAGTAAAATCATCAGCTAGACAAAATATAAGCAGTATGAAGCATTGGGTCGATGAGTCTACCCAGAAAGGATATAACATGCGAATAAATCGACTGTCTAGTACGAACAGGTCTACAAACGCTCCGAATCTAATCCACTATCATCGACAATGAGATTCGACCGGATCGATACAGCTATGAAGATAACAACAAACTAAAGCCAAAGAATTCATAAAACCATACATACCTTGACAGGTTTCTGAAAGACATGCTATATCTATGAAAGCGCAGACGAATCGGTTAAAAGGGCCGATTCAGGTAGAAAAAGGGTCACGGCATGTGAACAATCGACTATTCAATACGAGTAGACATATCAACTCCTCAAACCTAACATATCATCTTTAACAGTGGGGTTCAACCAGATCGATGGCAGCCATAATAAAGATAACATATTAAATCTTTAAAAAATGGATCTACTCATATTTAATAGGATCATGAAAACACACTATGAGCGTTAAAGTGCAGGCGATCGGCTATTCAGCCGATGCAGACATAGCAAACAGCCAAGGTCATGCCTGGTCAAAAGTAAATCTACCAGCTAATATCCTCTGATCTAAAGTACTAACAGTGGGGGTCGACCGGATCGATACATCCATAATAGCGAGCTATAGACCAGATTCAACTAGCTAGTAAATCTTCTCAAGATCAGACATGCCTTAACCGCGTACTATGCACGATCAAGATCGAAATAGGACAGCCAAAACATAATCCATCGTTTAAAATAAGAATCATCGCAATGTGGCAAATAAACAAAGGACTAAAAGGATACGAGGCCAATCTAGTTCGATCTTGATCGAGCAGGCTGATGTTGCTGAAAAGACTAATGACAATAAAAACATCAGTAAGATCGGTAACTTAATGAATCTATCCGAAGGATGCCACCCTTAGGTAGAGCCGATAACTTGAC